TCCGCCCGAAGCCAGAGCCGTCTCTCCGCGGCCTCTTGCAGAGCGGCTCCCCGGCGGGCGGCGACGGGGACTCCCTCTCGGCCGCCACCGCCGAGGGGGAGCCGCCGGGCTGAAGGGCGAGCGCCGCTTCGTCCGCCATCTTTCAACTGCCTCTCTGGCCCTCCTCCCTCGCCTCCTCTGCTCCCGCTCGACTCGCGGCACTGGCGCCCCCGCGGCTCCGGCTGCGGGAGATTTAAACCCCGTCACGTGACCCGCCCCTCATCGCCCCCGCCCTCCCGCCGTTCCCGCCACCCACGCGGGCCAGACCACAACACGGCAGGTCACGTGGCAGGCAGAGGCGGCGTGGGCTGGGAGGAAACGCGGCCCGGGCTGCTGCGCCCCACCCTTCGGGCAGGCGCGTCTTCGCTGAACTTCTCTTTCAAACTGTCCTAAAATCAAAGCCGCCGGGATGGCTCAAGTTGTGGTTTGCCCTGCTAGTTTCCACTTCTCCCCGAAGTGCACACCTTGCCTGCCTCACATAGTTTTTTTCTGGACTTAACGCTAACAGTGAAAACTTAATTCCAGAAAGGCAATAAGGAATGAAGCTGGCCAAGTAGCTTCCTGAAATACGCTGGGTAATGAGCCTGTTTTGTTAACGGGTATGAGTAGGGGTTACGGGACACAATTCACTTTTCACTCTGCTCACACTATTCGCAAAGTGCCTCTTCGGCTCTTTTTTCTCCTTGCTGCTCTCTTTAGCCGATTGCTGTTTCTCCCTCTTCCCGTAACTTGTAGAATGGTGTAGATTGTCAGATCCATAAAGGCGTGCGTTTGCCTGGGAAGACCTTTGACCTGGGGGTGGGGATCAGCCTATCTGCTTCTAGCCCCAGCTTGGCTGCAAATGTGTGTGATGTCCCGTTTCTGGGCTTCTTAGAATGAGTATATTAGGTCGAGTGGTCTGGTATGAGGAGAGCTGGACTGAGGGTGAGTTGGCCCCTGTACACATCTGGGTTTGGTTTAGAATTTGAGCAATTTATTTAGCCTTTCTAAACCTAATGTTCTCATTGTCCTCATTCTCTAAAACGGCAATTAATACCTATTTTGTAGGGTTGTGGTGAGAATTAAATGAAACGGCCAGATGTAAAGTGAGGGGTAAATAGTCGCTTAAAAACATTAGTTCCTTTCCTATTTGAAGCCCCTTCACCTTCCACTTCCTGAAATTCCACTCCATATCTAGCCTTAACTAAGGACCCATATAATACACAGCAGATCTAGAGCCAAGCTTGGTAGGCATCTGCTTCTGGAGCACAACCACTTAAGGGACCTTTCTGAGTTTACTGTAAATCGGCCCTTAAGCTTAAAGTGGGTCCTACCTATACCATTACTTGTTTGCACTTAAGAAAGCAACTTGTTTCTTCTTAAAAAGAAAAAAAAATATATATATATATATATATATATATATGATGTTGAAAATATATCTCTAAGGTCCTATGTAAGTCCAAAAGTCTCTATATGTCAAATTAAACTGAGAATCTCCCCATACAACTGGTTGCTTCATTTCTGAAAATGATCTCTCTCATGCTAGAAGCCTTGAAATCACCTTTGAAGCATTCCTTCGGATTGTTACCCTTATATCAATCAGTGACCAAATCCTGTTGTCCTTTCTGTCCTACAACTCTCCAGTTCCTAACTACATAGGCACCTAACCCTTTCTGGCTGAAACACTTGGCCCTGTTTCCTCCCCTACTTTGTCTATCTTATCTTACAAAATATTTCATAAATTGTTTCTCAACTATGTTGGTAGGATATAATATATAAAATGTTGAGAGTCACTATCCCAACAAAATAGAAACAGAATTCCCAGCTTTTTTGAGGAAGACAGTTGTAAGCTCATGGACATCCTGTTATTTCATTCGTTCATTTATATATGTTGTGCATCAAAGACACTTGATGGTGTTTATGAAATGCTGTGTGATCAAGGTGATTACTAGTGTGCTGAAAGGTCAGATGGGGTACACATGGCAGGTGGTATAAATGACAGATATTGTGTCACAAAACAAAAGACCCTCCTAACTAGACTTCTGGGCTACCAGTATTTGAGAACTACTTGCGTGAAATTCAAGTCATTCTTAGTCCCTAAAACTTGCAAATTCACGTTCAGTTTTTCAAATTTCCCTTGAATCTGGTGTTGACCTTCTTGTAAATATTTTTAGCATCAGTATTCTTTAAATTGAGTTTTTCATATTACAAAGTCACTTTTTTAAAATAAGGAAGCTCTTATTGAGTGATCTCCAAGCTGCATAATGCAGGATGTAGTACAGTGTGTATAATACAGTGCTATTTGTGAAAAAATGAAAGGGGGAATGTGGAAGGGAGACCAAATGTATATATTTGCTTATATATGTACAAAATAACTCTGGAAACCCTTAAACACATACATGCCTGCCATGTATTTGTCATACGCTTTTGCCTGTGCCTCTTTCCCTAGAACAATTTCTCTCTACTCCTTATTCAGTATATTATAAAGCACATTCCCTTATTTTATTCATTAACTTATTTTTCTCTGTGTATTTACTGACTTTCTCTGCTAACTGCAGCATGAATTTTGTTCATCTGGTTCGCCTCTATATCATCAGCTGTCTAGTAGAGCTAGCATATATGTTTATTGAATGAAAGAATAAATAATCTAAAGGAAGATTGCCACATAGGAAATTAATTATTGAATGAAGGGTGAGAGGCAGCATGGAGTCTTTTTTAAAAAAAGCAAGAAGGTCAGGTGAGAGAGTTAGTGAAGCACGTAACATGAGATATCTGGTACCTTGTTTGACAGGATGAACATAGGTGCATTGGGCTATGAGGTGTTTCTCAACACCAACAACCAAGTCTCTGATTCTCCAGACACTATCTGAATGTTCAAGAATTCAACTCAGTTTTGACACTAACAGCTTTAGGGCTCAGTGTCACAGGACTGCCACCATTCAGATGCCAGTTACAAGTCCCAAACCTCCTGATCTTCTCACCAACTGGCTATAAATTGGGAGTTCCCATGACACCCTCCTAAAGTACAATAATCTCCTGGAGTGGCTCACAGAACTCAGTAAGATAACTCAGTAAGATACATCATTTAAATTTACAAAGTAAGTATAACTTTTGTATCCTTCCAGAGGATACAAATGAACAGCCAGATGAAGACGTATATAGGGCAAAGTTCTGAAAGGTTCTGCGCAAAAGAGTTTCTGTCACTATGGAGTTGGGATGCACCACCCTCTCAGCACTTCGTTGTGTTCACAAACTTGGAAGCTCTCTGAAATCTCCTTGTTCAAGAGTTTTTTTTTTAATAGAACTTAATCTCCATCACACCCTGTCCCTCAGTCTGGAGTAGGGCTGAAAAGTTCCCACCCTTTAATAAATTGGTCTCCAGTGACCAGCTCCATTCTGAGGCTACCTTAGGAGATTGGACCTTAAGCCCCACTATAAACTACCTTGTTAGCATAAACTCGGGAGTGCTGGAAAGGGCCTCATTATGAATGATAAAAGATGCTCCTTTCATTCAGCAAACTCCAAGAGTGTTAAGGAGTTCTGTGTTTGGAACAGGGGACAAAACCAAAATATTTGTTTTATATTATACCAAAGGCTGTCGTAGACTTCAGACACTAGTCACTAAGTTTTTTGGGTTTTTTGTTTGTTTGTTGTGTCACTAAGATTTTTAACTTGTTTCTAGCCCTAAGCTTTCTAAGCAGAATTTAACAGTAATTTGATTTCCTATACAGAATTTTCCACTGGGGAGAAAATATTCAAAAAGCCAACATTAATATTCTGACTGACTTGGCAGTTCAATTTACATAAACAAATAAATTGACCTTATAACTCTGATATCAGTCTCATGACCACCATAGTAGGGGAGTTAGTATCAACTCTTTGTATACTGAAAAAATGTTGGCAAACATTTTTTTGTTGGCAAACTGATTATTAATGTGAAAAAAAATACAAATACAGATTTCTACCTCACACTAGACACAAAAATAAATTCCTTGTAGACTGAAGATCTAAGTGAAAAAATACAATACAAATATTATAAGACATTTTAGAATATTATATAACTTTGCATTAAGAAAGATCTTAACTGAGACAGGAGACATTTAAAATATATATACTCAACTACATAAACATTTGAAATATGTTCAAATCTACTAGTAGGCAGGAATATGTAAGTAAAACAATGAAGTACCATTTTTTTTACTCCTCAAATAGGCAAAAACAAAACAAATTTTATTTTTACCGTCTATTGCTTACCAGAATATGGGGAAACAGAATCTCTCATAGTGTTGGAAAGTAGTCTGGAAATACTTTTTAAAATTATAAATACCATACACAAATACATTTCAATCCAAAATCTCATTTATCTTAAAGAAGTAAAAATGTAAGGATATGAATACAAGAATGTTTATTATGGCGTTAGTATTGTTGGGAAAAAAGTCCAGACACAATCCAGATATCTTCATCAGGAAATCTATTGACCAAATTATGGTATGTACATATTATGGCATATTATGCAACCATTAAAAAAAATCTATCATTGTTGTTCTTGAAGAATGTTTATGATACACTGGGAGTGACAAAAGACAAGTTGCACAAAAATGTATATATTATGATCCTTCTTATTATTTAATAAACATATCTTTTTATTATTTAAAAAAAAACCCTAGATACCTAAAACAAATCTATTCACAAACATGGCTGTAGAGGCTTAGAAAAGGTACAGAAAGTTACATATCAGAATGCTAACATTTTAACATCCCTGATGAAGGGGGTGAGCATAAGTGGTAGGGTTGAGGACACCTCAATAAATATTTCTTGCTAAAATTCTATGTATTAAAATGAGCATTTTAAAAAATTATAATTTAAAAGCAAAAGAGTAACCATTTTTTGAAACAACCACCTGAGGACTAGACTCTGAGCTCTGGTGACCTCAAAAAGTCCTTCCCGTCCTGTGAGGCCTGAGCCATTGGCTGACTTTCCTGTCTTCCAGTGCTTCTTTTTAAATTTCCTACATATAACCACAAGTTTAGCAGATGTTAGTTTTTCACAGCTTCATGTGTTGTCTTTTTGATTAGGTTATAACATAAGCGTTGTACTTCCCTACAGAATTTAGTATTCCACACCTTATCAAACATCATTTGGAAAGCTGTTTGGGACTTCCAAACCAAAGCAAATAGACAGTTTGGTAATGCAGCCTACCTTCCACCAGCAACAGAAAGATCTAGACCAATGGTTCTCAAATGGAGTGACTTTGACCCTTTCCTCCAGGGGAAATTTGACAATCTAGAGACACTTTTGGTTGTCACAACTTGGGGAGAGGATGTACTAGTGACATTCAGCAGACAGAGGCCAAGGATACTGCTAAACATTCTACAATGCAGAGGACAACTCCTCACAACAATGAATTCTCCAACCAAATGTCAACAGTGCCATGGTTGAGAAACTCTAGCTTGGAGTTTCAACCACACAGAGAAGATGGTACTGTCAGGGCTTTAAGTGGCAGAGATTCCCAAGGGAATAAGGGAACAGGATTTAATTAGCAAGGCTGGGTTGCAAAGTGATTTTCAAACTTTGGGTTTTAGCAGCAGAAGCCAGTAATCTTAACTCTATTATGTACTGTAGATACATTTCCTTTAAAAGTTCAAGGATTCCACCGAACAGTAGGAAAAATATTGATAGCCCATTTGAAAATGAAGAATTCAGTTCACAGAAAAGGGAACGCAAGTGGCTTTTAAACATGTGAAAGATGTAAACCTCTCTCATAATAAGAGAAATACTCAGTAATTACAATGAGATATCATTTTTCACACATCAGAGTAATAAGGAACCAAAATTTGATCATACATTGCATTGGTAAGAACGTGAAAAGCCAAGCCTGCTTCTATAGTGATAGGACAAGCAGAAATTGGTACAATCCCATGGAAGGCAATTTGGCACTATTTATCAAAAGGTAGTAGGCATATGCCCTTTTTATCTGGCTATTCCAATTCTAGAAATCCGTTTTATAGATACTTGCATATGTGTAAAATGATATATAGGCAAGGATATTCATTGTGCCATTGTTTATACTAGCAAAAGGTTGGGAATAAACTAATTGTCCATGAGTGATGAACTAATTAAACATATCACCAGTACATATGTTTATATGTACATAGATTGTCACTTCAACTCAGGAAGTAGGTAACAGAAATTGTTCCTAGGGAAGGCAAATGGGAGACTGAAGAACAAAAGTATGAAGATTTATTTTTACTATAAAATCTCTTGTGCCTTTTGAAGTCTTCACCATATACATCGTTACATATCATACATGCATGCGTTTATACCTCATACATCACATATATATTATATTTAAAATATATATTATATACATCACATATATTAAATATACATCTATAAAAGCAGGGCTGTTCTGTTTAAAGTAGACTCTTTAAGTTTCCATAATGGCATCCCTCAAGACATCACTGATGATATTTAGAATCCTAAAAGAACATAGTAGAAGCTACTGTCATGGTTGTTAGGGTCAGCTAACTGATATAATAAATAATCCAAAAATTTCAATGGCTAAATGCTACAAAAGTTTACTACTCACTCATACAACAACCCTACATGGTTGTTCCTGGTCAAATGGTTTTTTGGGTCAGTTCCCCTTTGAAAAGTGAACAAAAGACCCTTGTTCCTTCTATCTTGTAGCTCTGCCACTGGACAGGCAAGGGAAGTTAAGTCACATCTGCTGAAAGGTTTCATGAGCCAGTCCTGGAAATGACACTCACTACTACTTCTTACATTCAGTTTCTAGAAACCAGTCATGTAGCTGCACACAAGGAAGCCTGGGAAATTATATCATTTGGGGTGACAGAATGGAATTGAGGGCACACAGACAATGATCAACACTAAAATGTAGTCTAGGAGGAAATAAAGGTGGCAGAGTAGGAGGACATGAAGCTTACCTCTCCCAACAAATACATCAAAAATACATCCTCACGTGGAGCAAGTCTCACTGAAAACAAATGAAGACTGGCAGAAAGACTCTTGTACAATCAAGGCTGAAAGAAAGACCCACACGGAATTGGATAGGAGGGGAAAAGAAGCGATCAGGTCAGGACCCCCACCCCTGGGTAGGGACACAGAAGAATGAAGGGGATTATACCTGCTCAGAGATCGTCCCTAGGGAATGAACAGTTCAAATCAAATACTGGGTACCCCATCCTGGGGTATGACACTCAGAAGATGAGTACCTTTGGTTGGTTTGAAAACTAGCGGAACAGACAGCAGAGCTGGGAGAAACATGGACTCCGTTTGTGAAGAGCGTGCATACACTTTTTTACTCCTGAAAAAAGGCGGAGGAAACAGATTGAAACTGCCTGGGACACTGGCCAGTTTCCAGCAACCAATAGTGCGTTACCCAGGCCCAGAGGAGCGCTGGCTCCAGCCCCGCTGGTTCCATGGATGCTGTGCCACTCCAGGACAAGGACTGCTGTGGGCGAGGACAGTTGTAGGTGACAGACCTGGCTCAGGCAGAAGCAGCAAGTGAGCCTGGTGAGGGTAGATATTGCTGGCATTTGCAGGGGTAGTGGATCAGAAGTGGTCCTGAACTCTGATGGGTGCCAGGACCACCCTAGCCTGTGACTCAACCCACACCAGGCACCTGCTTAGCCCCTCTTGCTCCAGCACTGCTCCCCACTGGGGCAAGGGTATTAGTGCTGGAAGTGGGTAGAGCACACATTTAGAGGGGAAAAAAACAGCTTAGACCCGACCCTTAGGTCTTCTGCTCCAACAGCTTGAGACCTACCCCTGACCCCAATAGGCTAATGCTGGCCACTGAGCAGAGGAGGACCCACCAGCTTACACCTGGCTCTGGCTCGAGTTCCTCCATCTCTAGCCCCACTTCCTACCAGGATGACAGCTGCCAGCACACTATGCAGGAAGCTGGGACTCATGCTCATGTCAGATCCAGCTCTCCCATCAAAGCTACTGGGCACATGCAGACTGTATAAGGATGTTCCTACACAAGGACACTCCTTCAAGACCAGGATAGATAACTGCCTAATATCATAGAGACAAAGAAAGTTAAGCAAAATGAGAAGACAGAGGAATTTGTTTCAAATGAAAGAACAAGAGAAAAACCTTGAAAAAAACAATGAGTGAAACAGAAATAAATAATTTACCAGATAAAGAGTTTACAATAGCCAAGGCCTGGAAACAACCTAAATGTCCATCAACAGATGAATGAATAAGGAAGATGGGTATCTATATAGAATGGAATATTACTCGCCATAAAAAAATGAAATAATGTCATTTGAGCAACATGGATAGACCTAGAGATTATCATATGAAATGAAATAAGTCTAGAAATCAGTAACAGGAAGAAAAATGGGAAAAACACAAATATGTGGAAACTAAACAACATGCTATTTAAAAAAAAATACGTCAATGAAGAAAAGAGGAAGTCAGAAAATACCTCGAAACAAATCAAAGTAAAAACACAACTTTCTAAAATCTATGGGATGCAGCAAAAGCAGTTCTAACAGGGAAATTTATAACAATACAGGTCCACATCAAGAAACAAACAAATAAAAAATCTCAAATAAATAACCTAATATACCATCTAAAGGAACCAGAAAAAGAAGAACAAAGCCCAAGATGAGCAGAAGAAAGGAAATCATTAAGATCAGAGAGGAAGGAAATTAGAAAGATAGAAAGAAAGAAAGAAAGAAAGAGAAGAAAGAAAGAAAAAGAAGTATCAATAAAACCTAGAACTGGTTTTTTTGAAAAGATTTTAAAAATTGATGAGCCTTTAGGCAGCTCAAGGAAAAAAAAAAAAAAAAAAGGAGAGGACCCAAATAAGCAAAATAAGAAATGAAAAAGGAGAAATAACAAATGATATCACAGAGATACAAAACATTGTAAGAGAACATTATGAAGTTATACGCTAACAAACTGGACAACCTAAAAAAAATGGATAAATTTCTAGAAACATATAATCTTCTAAAACTGAATCAGGAACACATAGACAATCTGAACATACTGATTATTAGTTGTGAAATTGAATTTATAAACAAAGAACAACAACAACAAAAAAGACAAAAAACCTCCCAGCAAACAAAAGTCCAGGACCCAAAGGGTTCTCAGGGGAATCCTAAGAACAAAACAAGAAGAGCTAATAGCTACCCTTCCCAAACGATTACAAAAATTTGAAGAGGAGTGAATACTCCCAAATTTATTCTATGAGGCCATCATTACTCTGATGTCAAAACCAAAGACACTACAAAAAACAAAAATTTCAGGCTAATATCTCTGATGAATATGGATGCAAAAACTCTCAACAAAATGTTAGCAAACCAAATTCAACAATATATATAAAGAGGGTCATACACCATGGTCAAGTGGGATTTATTCCAGGGATGCAAGGATGGTACAATATCTGCAAAATCAATTAATGTAATGAATGCACCACATTAACAAAAGGAAGGGTAAAAATCACATGATCATTTCAGTAGAGGCAGAAAAAGCATTTGACAAAATTTAACATCTGTTCATGATAAAAAAATCTCATCAAATTTGGTGTACAAACTAGAAATATTTATAAAACTTGTTTACAAATCAGAAAGAGAATCACAGACACAGAAAACAAACTATGGTTACCAAAGGGGAAAGGAGTTGGGGGGAGGAATAAATTAGGAGTTTGGGATTAACATATACACATTACTATATATTAAATAGATAAACCACTAGGACCTACTGTATAGCACAGGGAACCAATCTCTTGTAATAACCTATAGTGGAAAAGACTCTGAAGAAGAATATATATTTGAATCATTTTGCTGTACACTTGAAACACAACATTGTAAATCAACTATACTTCAATTAAAAAAAATTGGTGTTCTTTGTTCTAGGAGGATTACAGTTTCAAGTTTTATGTTCACGTCTTTAATCTACTTTGAGTTGATTTTTGTGATTGGTATAAGATAGTGGTTCAGTTTCATTATTTTGCATACGGTTGACCAGTTTTCCCAACATCATTTACCAAAGAGACTATCCTTTCCACATTGTATATTTTTGACTCCTTTGTTGTAGGGTTTGTTATGTTTTGTAGGTTCTCTATATATTCTGGATTAAATTCCTTTGTTAGATATGTGATTTGCAAATATTCCTCCCAGTTTGCAACTTGTCTTTCATTCTCTTAACCAGGTCCTCTGAAGAGAAGAGGTTTTTAATATTGATGAAGATAAATTTCTCCTCTTTTCTTTTATGAATTTTGCTGTTGTTATCTGAAAACTCTTTGCCTAACCCAATGTCACAAATAATTTCTTTCATTGTTCTTCTGGGAGTTTTATAGTTGTACACTTTACATTTAAGTCTATGATTCATTTTGGGTTAGTTTTTGTATAAAGTATGTGAAGTATGGGTCAAGGCATTTTTTATTTTTTTGTTCTTATTTTGCCTATGGATATGTATTACTTTCATCAATATTTCTTGAAAATACTATCCTTGCTATGTTTAATTGCCTTTGCAACTTTGTCAAAAATCAATTGATCATATTTGCATGAGTCTCTTTCTGGACTCTATTCTGTTCCATAAATGTGTATCTCTACTCTTTCACAAATACTACATTATCTTAATTGTGTAGCTTTATAGTAAACCTTGAAATTTGGTAGTAGTCTTCCAACTTTGTTCTTTTTCAAAATTGCTTGGGCTATTCCAATTTCTTTGATTTTTCCATATAAAATTTTAGATTCAGCTTGTCCATTATCTGTCTAAAAACTCCTGCTGGGATTTTGACTGGGATTACACTGAATTTATAGATCATTCTGGAGAGAATCAACATCATAACAATACTGAATATTCCAACATTCCAATATTCCAACAGAGTACACCTCTCCATTTATTTAGATGTTTGATTTCTTTCATCAGTGTTTTGTAGCTTTTGGTATATAGATCCTGCACGTGTTCTGTTAGATTATTTTACTTAAATATTTCATTTTGGAGCTGCTACTATAAGTGGTAATTTAAAAAAATTTTAAATTATTCATTATCAGAATATTAAAATACAACTGACTTTTTAATATTATCCTACTTATCTGTGACTTTGCTAAACTCACTTATTAGGTTTAGGAGCTTTTTAGTAGATTTTTTTGGTATTGTCTATATAAACAATCATCTGTCTGAGAATAGACAATTTTGTTCTTTCTTTTCAAATCTGTATTTGTTTTCTTGTTCTTGCCTTATTGCATTGGTTATAATTTCCAATATGATGTTAAATGGGAGCAGATATCCCTGCCTCTTCAAATATCAGGAGAAAACAGTCAGTCTTTCCTATTATGTACGATGTTAGCTGTAACTTTTTATAGATGTTCTTTTTCAGGAGAAGGAAGTTCTGTTTACCCCTAGTTTGCCAAGAGGTTGTTTTTTTGTTTGTTGTGTCATAAACAGATATTGAACTTTCTTAAATGTTTTTTTGCACCTACTCAGATAATCATAT